ATAAAACATCGACATCCATTAAATGCCTTAGATGCCTGCCACTGGGGAGGGGCAGATGGTGAACGGGAGGAGGAATGGGAATAAAATGTGAAAATAAAATCAGAAGGGCCCTAGTATGGATTAATCACCATAGTGTACCGAAAAAAACGGAGGACTAGGACTCAGGGAGAAAAAGGAAGAACCTTGGCTTGTAATAGGGACTTCCTGTCCTTGACAAGATTCTAACATAAGGCGCTGGGCTCCCTCCCCCGATCCCAGCCCCTAAGAGGACATACAACAGGAAAACCGACAGATGATGATGAGGTCTACTACTTATGTGGCATTTACCATGTGCCCAGCGCTATTAATTCATTTAACCCTCGCGCTAGGAGGCAGATGCTATTATCTTCTCTTTACAGGTGAGAGTACAAGTACACAGAGGTTTAGTAAATTGCCTAAGGCCACACAGCCGGTAATGCTGGAGTTCCAAGTCCAATTCCAGATAGTCTAGATAAAAGTGAGGAGCACCTAGAGACTGGAGAAGGTGAGTCTCCAGCAAGGATGAAGGTCAAGGGAGCATGGCCTAAAATAGAACAGAGGCAAGCACCACAGAGAGGCCAGAGAAGAAATTTCTAACTGTGCCTTTTTTCTCCCCCAACATTACTCTGGAAAGATATTCTCCTCCTCACCACGGCAGGACAAAGAATGGCGCTGCCCAGCCACCTGGAGATGGGTCACATTAAGGCGGCACTGAAGCCACTACCGTGGGGAGCATGCTCGTGTGTGAGCACGGGGCCCGCCCCCTCCACCACACGTATACAGCGAGACCCCAACCTTCTGGATCAGACCAGTAAATCCACTGTACACCTTCAAGATCGGAATTTGGGCAAGATTTCCTTGAGGTAGCTATCTGACTAGCCCAAGAGGAAAACTCTAAAGGCACTGGCATCGGGGTCCCCCAACAGCCCCCACAAGTGAAGCTCAGAGCTGAAAAGCCCTCAGACTTTACAAACAGGTTCATCCCCTGCCCCTTATAATGAGGAGCACAAAACCAAATATTTCCACTTATTTAAGAAAGCCTCTAACAGGGACGCCTGGGTGGCTCAGTCGGTTGAGCGTCCAATTCTTGATTTCAGCTCAAGTCATGATCTGCGGGTCCTGAGACTGAGCCCCACATTGGGCTGAGTGTTGCCTGGGGTTCTCTCTCCCCCTCTCTGCCCCTCCCCTGCTCTCTCTTTCAAAATACACATTAAAAACAGAAAGCCTCTAACAGAAGATGGAGTTTGAGGCAAAAAGCAAAAACAAGAAACCAGCAAACAACAATTGCTTCAAGGAAGAAACACATTCTACAGGAAAAAAACTTAAAAAAAATTAGTTCTCTTGAGTCCGCTTACAATACCCAGCGACAAAAATTAAGATCAGACACATTACTAAAAAACATACAGTAATGGGCCTAGGTTATACATTGTTCCTACACTGACAGAGAGGCAGTAATCCAATGAAAGGGTAGTCTTTTCAACACACATTAGAATAAATGATATTCCTATTTGTAAAAACTTGCAACTCTTACCTCACCAAAGGGGAAAAAAAAAAAATCAATTCAAAGTGAATTTATAGACCTAACGAAGTTAAAACTACCAGACTTGTAAAAGATACGTACCAATGTTCATCTCTTCAGTTTGACAAATGTACCACAATGTAAGATACTAAAATTAGGGGAGTCTAAGTATAGGAGATAAAGGAGCTCTAGCCTATCTTTACAACTTTTCTGTAAACTTAAATTTTCTTTAATGTTTTTTGTTTATTTCTGAGAGAGAGAGAGAGAGAGAGAGAGAGAGAGAGAGAGACAGCATGAGCAGGGGAGGGTCAGAGAGAGAGAGGGAGACACAGAATCTGAAAGAGGCTCCAGGCTCTGAGCTAGCTGCCAGCAGAGCCCGATGCAGGGCTCGAACCCAGGAACCGTGAGATCATGGTCTGGGCCAAAGTCGGACACTTAACCGGACTGACCAACCCAGGCGCCCTTTTTCTGTAAATTTAAAATCCTCCCAAAATAAAGTTCATAAAAAAAAAAAAAAAAAAGTGCTCAGCATTAGTCATCAGGGAAATGCAAATTAAAATCTCACTGTTATACCACCTCGTCCACCCACTAAAATGGGTAAGAGGAAATAGATCAACAGCAGCGAATGTTGGAAAAGCAACGAGAACGTTCATTAATTGCTAGGAGGGCAGAAAATGGTACACTATTGAACACTAGTCAGCAGTTTAAAAATTAAACACATATAGTCCATTGTATTACCTCATCAATTCCACTCCAAAATGTACCCAAAAGAAACGACACTATATGGCCAAGACTTACACGTTACTCATAGCCAACATTATTCATAATCATCCAAAGATGAACTCCAGACGTCCATCAACAGAACAGGCAAAGTATACACTGAACTCTACACTGGAGTTCTCGCACCAAAAAGGAACTGATACAACTACATAGACAAATCTCAAAAACATGCTGAGAGCAGCTAGACACAAAGTACACAGCAGCAAGATGCAAGATTTAACATAATGAAGTCCTAAATATGCAACTATATCCTACAATAGAAACCAGGTTAATGTTTCTCTGGGCATGGGAGATACGGACTGGTAAGGGACACACACACACGGGAACTTTCTGGAGGGTGAGAGGTATTCTGGGTCTTGAATGGGTAAACGGGGTCTTTTTCAAGACTGATCGCACAGTGTGCATCTCACTGTAAATCATATATACTTTTAAATACAAATGGTACTCATTCATCAGAGATCTACAAATTTAAACAATGAGATATGATATTCCCACCAGGATGGCTGCATTTAAAAAGCACCAAATACAAGGAAGCCTGGGTGGCTCCCGGGTCATGATCTCGTGGTTTGTGAGTTCGAGCTAGCCCTGTATGGGCTCTGTGCTGACAGCTCAGAGCCTGGAGCCTGCTTCAGATTGTGTCTCTCTCTCTGCCCCTTTGCCACTTGTGCTGCCTCTCAAAAATACGTATAAGAGGAATTTAATGGAGGACCATGGGGGAGAAGGGGGGGAAATAGTGGGGGAGAGGGAGAGAGGCAAACCATGAGACTCTTGAATGCTGAGAACAAACTGAGGACTGATGGGGGGGGAGATGGGCATGGAGGAGGGCACTTCTGGGGATGAGCACTGGGTGTTATACAGAAACCAACATGACAATAAACTATTTGGGGGGTAAAAAAAAAACATTATGAAACTGAAAGAAAAGCACCAAATACGGATACTGTGAGTGTTGGTGGCCAAGTAAAATGTTCAAACTTTGGGGAAACATCTGGCAATTTCTTATGAAAGAAGTATCTACCCCACAATCCATCAATTCCACAATTCATCTCATTGTGTTCAGACTTAGAATATTCACAGCAACTTCATTAATAGCCAAGAGATGAGAAAGTTCCAGGTCTCCATCAATAGGCCAACTATACCACGCTTCTACCTGGCAAGAAACGAACAGATATACCTGCAGAATCTCAAATGCATTTTGCTTAAAAAATTAAAAAAAAAAAAAAAAGCTTTATCCAAGTCTCCACTTTTATGACTGCATTTATTCTAGAATAGGCAAAACCTCCATCTTTGAGGAATGAAGGCAACCGTCTGTGACAAAGGTCACAAGGGACCTTGGCTTGGGTGATAGCAATGTTCTCCATCTTGATGGTGCACACATATTTAAAGCAAATCTCATGATACGCATATTTGTAACAATTTAAATCACAATTTTAAAATTCATCTTCAAAATTTGCAAATATTGAGATGATCTTTTAAGAAGTGCACTGATGTGTGCAACTTAAAAATTGATGGGAAGGACTAGTTCTTCTAGGACTGGCGTGGAGCTAATTTACTTACGGGTCAATACTTACGGCTTTTTCTGCCATCCTAGTGTTCAGCATTCCTAAGTGAGGACTTCTGTCCAACTGACTATGTAACCCAAATCCAAGTTCTAGGTGCAGATGAAATTAAGGCATGTAATGGGGACCCACAAAAATGGAGGCTGTCCACGTATAGGAGGATTAGGAGGAACTTGACGGAGGAACAAGGGGAAGAAGGGGGGAAATGGTGGGGGAAAGGGAGAGAGGCAAACCATGAGAGACTCTTGAATGCTGACAAAAACTGAGGACTGATGGATGTGGGGGGAGGGGGGATGCGCATGGAGGAGGACACTTGTGGGGATGAGCACTGAGTGTTATGTGGAAACTAATTTGACAATAAACTATTTGTAAAAAAGAAAAAAAAAAAAAAAAGACAGTCAACTTAAAAAAAAAAAAATGGAGGCTGTCCCAGCAACCTGGGCCAGATCACAAACCTCAATGTCAGATGTCTAGATGCATTCACAGGAAATCTAAATTATCAAGCACAATCCTACTTAGTTTTACCCTAGAAAATAGGGCTGTGTAGCCAATCGTGCCTCTTGAAAGGCTCTATGAAACGCGCTCCCGCCCCAAACCCCACTGGGAGCAGTGCCTGTTTGAGGTACTACACTCCAGTCCATGGGTGGCCTTCCTTTGAATAAAGGACACGGGGGACCAGTGCAGGAGTCAGAAGTACATACAATAGACGAAAGCAGAGAAAGTGTACAGAAGCACGTGAATCCTCTGGAGCCGTGTTTAAGAGCATTGCTGAAGGTCCAAATTGGGATTTGCTACCAAATGGAGCTACTGGACCAGTTTCCCCCCAACTCCTCGCCCCCACCAAGAGTTAAGCAGTATTACCCCCAGAGTACATGTCTGCCCACATAGGGCAGAGATTGAACAGACTCCCCTCATTTACCCGGAGAGCCACACCTGAAGCTCACTCCACTAATATAAAAGGGGCCTAGTTACAGAACAGGCCATCTTGGGGACTATGTTCCAAGGCAACAACTCAAGGGCCCAAAGTGCCTGACTAGAGTGTGGAGGAGGGGGGGACATGGGCAGATCTTATGGAAAAGCTGCAATTCCTTATTACAAAAATAATAAAGAACCCAGGGGCCACAAAATATGCATGTTCGGTTTTATTAAGTTTCAAATACAAAACATTCCAAAAAGAGAAAAGTGACCTAGAATATCTAAGTTCTATATTCAACTACCAGGTAAACAAAACATTGTCATTGTTTCTTTTACAACCAGTATAAAGCCAGAAGACTCCAGATGGATTCTTTTCCCAACGGGAGAAATTAAGTCGGCTGGGTCAGTAAACTATGTGCCAACAGCTGAATGGTCACTTGGGTATGCTTAATTTGAACCTCGTATCAATGATCACTAGGGTTTAATTTCTATGTTCTACATTATTTTCCAGGTATCTAAATAAAATCTCCAGAGCCCAAGGCATCAGAAGCATAATCTCACATACTTCACATGACAGGATTGAGGAAGACAGCTATGTTAAGTGCCAACAGCTAATTTGGGCAACACCCTCATCGCGGTCTGGGATTAGGAAAGCCTGTCCGCAGAGGGTTAGATTTCTGGAATTATTTCCCACAACTGCAAAGATCAAAGATGACAGCACTGATTTTACTACGAAGAAAAAAATCTTAGAGGAGTTGAGTTGGTTTTTCCAACCCAACTACTCAAATCTGTTTCCTTTGGAAACATTAGCTTTTTTATATTACCGGCTTTAGTCTCCAACACAATTGGTTTGTTTCCAAGACAGGTTGGGGGGGGGGGTTTAAAGCAGGCTTACAAAACAATACAATTTAAAAAAAAGATAAAGCCAAGTGGCTCACTTTTGTTTCCAGTTTTTAAAGTGTGCTCTCAATCATTTTAGCTAGGTTTCCAGTTCCTTTAGTTTGGGGACACTACTCTCCTTTGTTTTCTGACCAAACCTCACTTCTGGATAAACCTCACCAAAATGTTCCGCTTGCTGAAAAGAATCAAGCAGTTTACCGGATAAAGAGTTACCACTTATGCCTTTCATTTTTCTACTTCAACTTTCTGACAGTAATTAGCAAGTTCTCAACTGCAGAGTTGTCCCCCGGGGACTTTAACAAAATGAAAGCCAAACCTGTAAAAATCCACCTAAAGAACCACAAGAACTTACTACCTCCACTTACCAATTTCCTTAACTGCTCCCCTTTATCTGGTCAATTACTTTAAGTAGCTGCCACTCCCTAGTTAAGAGTGCTAACCAACACTGATGTCTGCCTTCCTCAGATCCACGGGAAGCCTCGAAGGCAAAAACTCTACTGCCTGCACCAAACCAATCCTGGTGGGTGCTGCTTATGCAACTGTTGTGCCTTATCGACAATCAGCGTTCTTCTGCTTCAACAACTCTGCAAAATGAAAAGCATGTGATCAGGTCACAAGATATTTATTGTTTTATACTGGAAATTACTCCCCTCTTACCCATTCTGTAAATACATGCTTTGTAACAGGCAACAAAACATTTCCTTTAAGTTGCAAGCTCTAAAATGCAACCATAAATACTCTACAATTCTTGTATGCCTTTGGTAATATTTTAAAAGCATGTCCTCATTATGCTGGTAACGTTACTCTTAAGAGGGAACTTAGAAGCAGCGGCATCTGTTCTCCCTTCAGTCCATCTGTACTGTGGCTGAGGAGGCACGAATAAAATGGGGATCCTCTTAGAAAATTCACGGGAGCAAGCTTGAACCTCCACTATATGAAGCCTGGTCACCTACCACAACGCGAACTGTACAGCTCCAGTCAACAACTGCTTATGGAGACCGTATTAGCAAGCTTTAGAATACACTCCAAAGGAACAAATGCAGGGCACGAAGAGGTACAAACTTCCAGTCATAAATACAGATGAAAAGTACAGTACAACATGGGCGGGGGGGACCACTAAGGGGCATCTGGTGGCTCAGTTAAGCATCTTGATTTGGGCTCACTCAGGTCATGAGCTCGCAGATTATTTGAGATCAAGCTCTCACGTCTGGCTCTGTGCTGACAGCGCAGAGCCTGCTTGGGATTCTCTCCCCCTCTCTGCCCCTCCCCCACATTTGCACACACACTCTCAAACTTAAAAAAAAAAAAAAAAGGCTAAGAATATGGCCTGACTGAGCCACTAATGGAAACCTACCTGTTTAACCTTCCTCCATTCTAATGGATAACTTGACACACCAGAAGCACATTACAACAATTAAACTTTATCCTAATCCACAAGTTAGGTTACCAGCCCCCCCCCAAGTCACAGAGAATTTACAAGTATCACAGCTATGCAAACAGGCAAAGCTACATTATTTACACCTATAAATGGGCCATGGCATTTGAAACTTACCTTATCATTTGATTTCTCGAGCTGCGAGCTTTATCTACTGTGAATAAATCAGCACTCCAACCACAAGGACCAAAATCCTCAACCTGTAAAAATGAAACAGGTAAACTACTTATCTCTCTTAAAGGAAACTCTTCAAAACTTGCCTACAACTGCTCTTTTCCAGAAAGAAAAGGCAAGTTCAGACTTGCAGTTTAACGTTATTTCATGTTCTACTAATTCTCTTAAGTGGTGGAAGATTCACTGGCTTGGGATGGACTGGAATGGCTTAAAATGGTTAAGTCGCATGGCTTATGGATTCTCTTTCTGTTCCAATGGTGCACTGCCATGTTCAATCCATAAGTTGAACGGACAAAACTTATTTGAAGGAATAAGTGCAGTGTAAGGATTTTTAGTTGGAGGTCTTCAAGTTTACTATATTCAAGAGCATCTTTTTCAACTTCATGGCTGGACCTGGGTCATGCTGCCTCAGGTTTTGCTTTTTAAAGACCACTTGCAATAGATTTTTCTCCATACAGTGTAGTTCCATAGAACTAAAAACAAGTCAGGCATCCAACTAAATGTCAAGTTTGCAATGGCTTACCGGGGCAAGAAAGTGGGACCCCAAACTTAGGCCATTTCCTATATTGACTACAAGGCTACTTTGAAAAATGTTAAAACATATGAAGCATGTTTAAAGGTCTTCATCAAAAATACTTTAAAAAAAAAAAAAAAAGGCACCCCCCCTCCCGAGCCCCAGATCCACTACTGGTAAACAGCTGTATTATTAAGGCCTTTAAGTGTCATACATGCTTTAAGAAAAAAAAAAAAAATCCATGTGTTGAATTTGGAGGACTTCTAATATGCTATCGAACACTTTGCTTTTCCAAAAGGTTTTTTTTTTTTTTTACATCTAGAAAGCATTTCCATTGCCATGAGGTACAGTATGTCTCACTGTACTAGGAGGAAGTAAGTGTTCAATCTCGACTTAGACGGAAAAACTAGTTTGCTTTGCTTACCATCTTTGCTGTTTCACAGGCATTTGATGCTTTAAATCTGATGTGGAATGCTGATAGATTCACTTTTTAGAAGTCATAAGCCTTTGAGAAGTTGGAGATAACTTCATTGCTTATCTATTTTCTCCTTTGCAATCAAGCTGTTCCTTAAAAGTGAGACACTACAGAGTTGCAAAAATTTGAAACAGTAAGAGCAAGCACCGTTTGCAGCTTCATGGTTGGTTTTGGCCAAACGTTTTATTTAGTATTCTGTAGTTGCTTAACACACACTTAAATGGTCTTACTGGGGGAGGGGAAAGGGGAGGTTCTTGTAGATTCCCAAGGAAATGTCAGAAAGGCAAAATATGGCCAGCATTATTATCCATTTGCTTTTTTGGATTTACTGGGTGAATAGCACTTTCCTTACATAAAAGCATCTGATCTCAGGTTTTTCATACTGAGAACATGGAGATTTCAGTTTGAAGACACTCTGAAATCCTACGAGTAGCATACCCCGACCACCCTCTAATAGCTAGCTTGTTTGTATAGGCAGGATTTTCCACCTCTCCATTTTAGATGGCTAGATGTTTGTGGAAGGTCCTAGAATTGCTTGCCTCATTTACTGGGAAAAAAATCAAGATATAGGAAGTGACCTCTAGGGACACTTTAACTTGGAAAATTACAACACTAGTACACATGTCAAGTCTTAAACACATTTAACATTTGCTTACTGAAAGCAATGTCATAAACTCAAATAAGATTAACAGGTTTTACTTTTTTTTCCCTCACAAGAACATGAAAATTATGGAAGGGGAACTTAACAGGAAATTTAAAAAAACGTAACAACAATTTTTCCTTTTAGTAGTCCTTGGGTAGTTATGACAGAAAAGGTTCCACTTTTTTTGTTTGTTTCTTTGAACGGGAATTTTGGTCCAAAGTTTTGCTTTGTTTTTAATATCTGCTTCTGCCTCCCCCTCTATCAGATCGGCTTCCTCCACGGCCACCACCTCTTGGTGCTCCGCGGCTTGAACTGCTGTAGGAATCGCGTGGAGGAGGGTACCCCCTTTCCATAGAAGGGGGAAGCCCTCTTTCTTGTCTGCCAACCCGATCGCGACCACTTGAGTAGAGATCACTTCGGCTGCTTGAGTAACTGTCTCGACTTCCACCATATCCGTCCCGTGAGCTGCTGTAATCGTCATAGCGACTGCTTCCACCATAAGATGGCGGGGGCCCTCGTGTGGGTGGAGCACTACGTGAGTTACCTGCAGGGTCAATGGTCAGGTAATATGGCAACGCTATAAATTGTATATATACAACATTTAAATCTGAATTTACAGAATTCTTGTATTAAACGTTTACTGTCTTAACCGGGAGGTTTTAAACTCTGCCATTGCTGGCCATTAACAGGGGTTTGCTCATCTGCTGAGATACGGAAATGGATGGGTTTTAATGTTTGTTTTGAAAAGACTGAAGACGGTGTGTATTTCAAGAGGATATTCCAGACCGCTTGTTATTTTATAGTAGACACTCAGACACTTTCCAGTGACAAGTTGCAATTTTGAACTGTAGACTTTCCTTCATATTGCAATGGTAAACATTTGATCTTGTTAATAAAATTTTTAAAATTGTATTTTCACTGTTGGGGGAAAACACATAAGGCTGCCAATTTAAGCAAGCAAAATCCCCTCCAAAGCAAGCAAACAGCCTCAAAAAGAAAACAAACTTAGAAAAAACAAAAGCCCCTCACAAAACTAGGAAAAGCCCAGCTGATAAAGTTACCCCTTGAAAGCAAGCAAATATCCCTTAAAAAGCAAGCACCACACAGCCTAGTAAAGTGGCTCATGAACCTAAAAACTCAAGCTGGTGATAGTCAAAGACCCTCAACCAGTATCTTACCATAACTCTCATAGGAATCTCTGTAGGAGCCTCCACTGGGATGATCCGAATAGTCTCGATCACGACCATAGCCATCTCTATCACTAAAGAGAAAAACGTGTAAGTCATGGGGATGGCTTTTTCGGGCAAAAGGAGTCACAAGCTGTGGCTGGCAGCAGGATCACGTTACCTATAGCCTCTTGATGGGTAGTCATCACGTGAACTGGAATGACCATAATCACGGTAAGTATAATCTCTCGGTGGTGGGGCGTAATCTCTTGTATCACGAGAACTTGGGTAATCTCTGCTCGAATAGCTACAAAAGCAAAAAATCAACTCAGATCACACTTTTGACAAGGTCTCTCTTCACCGGAAACTATGGAGACACCCTCCATGACACCTGTCCGTTACCTGTCTTTCGTAGAATATCCATCATCTCTTGGGGACAAATACACATCTCTACGCGAGGGCAGGGGCTCCCTTCGAGGCGGGCCTCCGTAGCTGTCTCTTCCACGTGACACGGGAGCTGAAGAAAAAATAATCATTTTTAAAAACAGCCCAAGCAGGAAGCTAAAATGCGACTTTACATTCAGATCATGAAAAGGAGGGCAGTTCATTCAGATAGGACAGTACAGAACTCAAGTAGTCTCGGTCTAAAATCACCTATTCACCACTCGCCTCTTCGGTGCATATTAACTTCACGTACCTACATCAATTACCCCGAGTCGAGGAGTCAAATTTCGTAAGCCACCTTTTCTATTGAACGTTTTTATTTTAGACCATCATTTTCTAAGTCCCTTATCAACCATGTGCGGTGTCATGGTGGCAGAACGGGTTATTCTAAAAACTCCAGCACTTACCTCTTCCTCCCATTCCACTGCTGCTGCGAACTGGTCCTGAAGGGGCTGATCTTTTAGGGGGAGGACCGCCACTTCGTGGTGGTGGTCCTCTTTTTACTGGGAGTGGTCCCCTGGAAGAACTCATGTTAAAATTCATGGAATAACCACCATCATCTACATTAAAATAAAAAAGAAAAGCCCATTAATCATCACAAGAATCGTTAAGAAGCTGTACAAATTTTCTTTGCTCGATCAAGAATGACCATTTTCTGTTTAGTTGTGGGGTCCTGCTTTAGTTTTCACTTGGACAAGACTACCGAGCCAAGGGGAGTCTATCCAGACTATCAACAGAACGGTAGTCCTTAAATTGCTTCAAAGAAAAACACAAACGGTTTCATTTCTATATACGTATTAAGACCTAGATCAAAATGTTTCTGAAAAGTTTTCTGCAATTTTTCCCCAGGAACCACCTAGTTTTGTTTCCCATTGTTTGTTTTCATATTTAAATCATCTCTATGCCCAACGTGGGGCTCAAAATTCACGACCCCAGAGACCTGGGGCTTTGAGCCAGCTAGTTGCCCCATCTTTTTTTTTTTTTTTTAAAACACTAACATAATGGCTTCTAGGTCTAAGTCATAAGGACTTTGAGAAATGAGTAAAGTGTTCTCAGTATCAGATAAAACCTTTACACAAGGGCTTAACCAATGCACCCATTGGTGTGAGGCTTGCAGTTCCTAAATTCCACACCAAGCCTGGGGTAGACCCACGTCATTACCCATGTGCCCTCCACGTGAGGGAGGTCCCCTGGTTCCTCCACTGCCTCCTCTTCCGCCCCTAAGGCCTCTGGGAGGGCCTCTGCTTCTTGGAGGTGGAGGTGGTCCACGTCTGCCACTTTCAAATGACGGTTTAGTGGCTTGTTCTACCTTGATGGCTTTTCCATCTAAGGACTAAACAACATGAAAATGTAATTCCATCAACACGGAAAGGAAACTCGCGGATCCATTCACTATACATCGTGACGCCAATGCACCCTTTATAATTAAGTTTGCAGGTAAATTTTGCTCAATAAAAATACAGGGTAGTTTTCCCATTGCCAGTTTTTTAGGAGGACACTGAGGAGCTGAACCCCAACATAAGGTCCACTGCACTGGTCAATAAAATGTAAAAGGCCAGTCAAGAGAACAAACTGGTCACCGGAAAGCCACGTTTTCAAGTAGAGAACGTATAGAATCACACGCTATTCTGAACTGAAACACTTTAAGAGCATAATCCACAATTTTGCAAATTTTGAAATCACAAACGGTTAAGGGTAGATGCTTCTAGAAAGGTATACCCTCAAACACAATTCAACAAAGGTACCCTCGACCAGATTTCAAGAACGCTGCTCATTTATGCACTAGGAATCGGGACCATTGTGCAATCTCACCTTTCCATTCATGTCTCTGGCTGCATCCTTAGCATCTGCGGGGCTTTCAAAGGTGACAAAAGCAAATCCTCTTGATTTGTTGGTTTCACGATCTTTCATCAACAGAACTAAAAAACAGTTTTGGGTGGGGGAGGGAGTGTTACTCTAGTTCTAACAAAATGACCAACGGGAGCCTATAAAATGCAAGCTCAGAACTTCTTAGAGGACAAAATATATCATGTCAGACGATCAGCATAATCAAATTCATCACAGCTCACATTATGAATTACTAACAGCTCCACATCTGCCTTCAGATAACTCACCTTCCACTATTCGTCCATATTTGCCAAATACGGCTTCAAGAGCTTTCTCATTTGTTTCTGTATTGAGGCCACCAATGAAAAGCTTTCCTGGGCGATCTGCTTCAACCATTTTTTCCCCCTGGTGAGAGTCTGTTGAAGAAGAACAGTATTACCCTCCCTAGAAAAAGTTCAAGTTTATAGGACACATGTATTATTTACTGACGCCATCTTTGTCATATACCATAAAATCATCATTCCTGAAAACCTGAAGACCCCAAAAGCATTCTTTTCTTCGAAACGTCAGCAGGAAACCAATAAGGTTAGTCATAGCGCAGTTTACATTAGACTAGTGAAAAGGGCCAACTTCTGTCTCCATCCTTAACCCACCTTGGCAATTCTAATCAAGCAACTCCTCAACGTTTGAAAAAGCATTTCCAGTTTTAATCCTACATGTGCTGCCTTTTAACGATCACATCCAGATTACCCTGACGGCTTTTTAAAGTGTAGAGCCTCACTCAAGGTCACAGGCCAGACGGAGGACCTCTTCCAAGAACTTTGCCTTTCCTCGTTAGGATTCCCTCCGTCAATCTAAGCAGAAATTTCAAGTTTAAGCCAAGTTAGAGGTCCCCTTCTCCACCAAGCCCCTGCTAGGCCGAAAAGGTTTAGAAATAAAGATTTCGGCACCGTTTCATAATAACGGAAGGTGGAAGCGCGCATCGTTATCCCTAAGCACTCCATGACTGCAGCAGAATCCAATTAAAACCCGTCATTAAAAAGCGCGTGGAAAACACAAAATGGCGACACTTGGATCCAACCCAGAAAAGCCTACACTGGTCAGGGGAGTAACTTTCGCTATCGGCAGTGGCTGGGAACAGTCAGAGGGCTTCCTCTCCAAGGCCGCCAATGAACAAGGACCCGCGTAAAAGCGCACGTGCCCATCCGTAGCGCCAGCGCCATCCCAATGCAGGTACCGCGGTGGCGCGGTCTGTGCTCGTCCCGTCCCAACCCCGACCTCCGCCACCACCTCCGCAGGCGACAGCCAAACTTTCTCGCGAGGCACCCGACGCAACGCAGCCCCCACGTCTGTTTCCCCCGGACACGCTCAGATTTAGCGAAATAGGTCGGCACCTTTCGGTTCTTAAAATGGCGCCCGCCACCCCCCCATCTCCGGGGAGATAATCCCAAGTTCTAACGTGGCAAGAACTTACGCGCAACGGGGCGAAGGAAAGGGCAACACGTACCGGAGGGCTGACGACGGGTCCAAGCTCCTACGAGCTCGCCGGCAGGGGCTTCGTAGCAGCTCAGCACAAGGGACGGCCGCCGGCTCCGAGAACGGAAGAGGGAAGCCGCTAGCACTACTGCGCAACGAGGGCGAACAAAGGAGACAGCAAACTTTATACTGCCCGGGAACGAGGCTGAAGGACCCGGATGGAAACCGAGCTTAGAATTTGAAACGCTAAAGGGAGGGCGAGCGGTTCCCAGCCTGCCCATTGGCTGCCTCCTCTATCATTCACTCCTCGCTCCTCCCCTTTCCCCGGGCCCTCCGCGTTTTGGCCGGCGCCTGTTTCTAACCGTTTCCCCAACCCCCACCCGTGCGCCACAAACCCGCGTTTTTGCTTTCCGCTAAAATGGTTCACGGGTTGCCTTTGATGCCGGTCTGAAATTTATTGCGTGTTCGGGGCGGGCCGGGCACGGTGCTAAACTTTGCAACCATTAACTCATTTAATCCTCAAAACAACGTGATGAAGCTACATACTCCTAACTATGCTAATTTTATATAAACGGGAAACAAAGAAGTTTAGGTAATAAAATAGATCTTCCCGAAATACTTCAACAAGACTTTCTAGTGGATGGGGACAATTCTGATAAGTAAATGTCATTTGGGGAAAAGAGTACGAAACCGCGGACAGGTCGTTCCTTCATATAGAACAATTACTGAACACCTACTAATAAATGGCAGGCTCTGGGTTAGGCTGTCAACATACAACCCAGAACGAGGGAGACAAGGGCAAGACACTTCAAAGGTAAAGCGACCGAATAAAATACAGGACGCACAGTTAAGTTTCAATTTCAGATACTGCTTCTCCGGTATATCCCACAATCATACACAGAACAACTCCCATGTTTCCCTAATTCAAATGTAACTGGCCATTGTGTATTGTAGCTGCAGCAATCTCGTGGTGGGGGATCACAAAAATTAATTTTCTAATTTATTTAAAAACAAAGTTTTAATACAATTAACGAAACAATTACATATTGTGATTGGTGCCAAGGAGGAAGCAAACTAGGTGCTTTGGTGAACGATATATGGGAGACCAAATTCGATATTAGACGTCGCATCAGATCGGAATGGAGAAAAACCAGCTGTGGGAAAGCTTTTCAAGAAGAGAGCAATAAGTGCAAACTGGAGGAAAAGAGTGTGCACCAGCAAGAGACAGAAAGAGATCCAGGGTGACAGGAATTGTAGGGTCTAAAGCGAGAGCCAAGTTAGAAGTAGGCAAAATCTTCGAGTCCATTAAAAGATTGCAGGGCGTTTAAGTGTGGAAGAAGGAGCACCACTGGGGGTGTGTGAACAGACCTTGAGAGAGAGGACGGGGGACTTGAATTAGGGTGGTGGCAGCGGAGATGGGGAGGAAGGTGTGTGTGGCAGGTAGCATGGACAGGATTTGCTAAAGAATCAGATGGGAAGGGGGGGGCGCCTGGGTGGCTCAGTCGGTTAAGCGTCTGACTTCAGCTCAGGTCACGATCTCACAGTTCATGGGTTTGAGCCCCACGTCAGGCTCTGTGCTGACTGCCAGCTCAGAGCCTGGAGCCTGTTTCAGATTCTGTGTCTCCCTCTCTCTGTGACCCTCTCCTACTCACGCTGTCTCTCTCTCAGAAATAAGTAAAACATTAAAAAATAAAAATAAAAAGAATCAGATGGGAAGGGGCTAGGGTGGAATTGAGGCAACTGAAGTCAGTACGGATGACTAAGTATGCGGTATAAATGGTAGTGGCCACTTACCAAAATGGTGGCAGTGGAGCAAGTTTGGGTTGGGGGTGGAGGGTGGGGGGTGACGAGAAATGGGATGCCAAGAGTAGAGATTAGGGCTAAATCGTCGCTTTACATATGATAATACAAGCCATCCGAATGAATGAGACCGCCAACGAAGAGAACACAATGGGGAAAGAAGGCCCAAGATCTCACATTATCAACTGTAAAATACGTACATACTGTATAGAGAGAGAAATAACGGGAAGGAAATATGCTAAAATGTCACCAGCTCATCTTGGTGGGGGTAGGGCTTGTCGACAATTGTGACTTTTCTTCCTCACAGTTACAATTACTCTGCCCACAGGTGTATTACGGGATATGCGGGGCAGGTGGTAGTAAATGATGTTCAGGTCACGGGTGAAAGCCCCAAGGAGCTTCGGAACCAGTGCTGAATTATTAACGTCACTGGAGAGAATAGTACTCAGTAGGGTAAGAATATGTGGTCTTTTATTTCCTAGCCGAATGATGACCAAAAAAGCAAAAGTCCTGTCCATTTGCCTTCAGAATGAGTTATGTAAGTTACCTGCTGTGGTGATAGCTGGGGATTGGCCAGGTTGGCACAAACCACTGAAATGCCAGGCTCGGCAAGCAGTCCGCACCCCCAGGATTGAACCGGGGGAAATCCCTGCCCCCTGGGTTGGTGGGCACTGTCTCTCCCGCTCTTAAATCCAGACCGAGCACTAGAGCGGCGTCCCCGAGGCTCCCATGCTAAGCCGGGCGTCCCGCAGCCTAGGGCGGGACAAGGCCAGCTCTACAATGAAAGTCCCTGTCCCCCTGGGTCTCAAGAGAGAAATGTGCATCTATGTGCACCGGATCAGATTGGTCTTTGCAACTAGCTCCCAGGGAGTGTGGAGGTGGCAGAACAGGACTTCCGAGAACGGGAAGCCAGAGGGGGGCGGGGGAGGGGGAGGGGGCCGTTGAGGGACTTGGAAGAGGGCATCGGTATGGCGGTAGTGCATGCCAGAACACAGCTGACAGAAGAAGCTGGGCAGGGGGGCACAGGGCCTACTGACTACATCCAGGTGGCAGTGAAGAAGGGAGCCTTTTTAAGAGGTGGAGCAAGGTAATCAGATCTCATCTTAAAGAGATCACCGTGGCTGCGGTCGGGAGACTATATTGGGGGAGGGACGAGCCGGAAGCAAAGGATTGCTGATGTAATCCTGGAGACAGGAGGTGGGCCTGCTGAGCGTGGGAGAATCTGGCCAAGGACAGCCTCTGGAAGCGGGTCTCACGCTGCCCAAAGCTAATCTCTGAAGCCCATCCCTGCCCCTCGTGGATCCTCTAGAATTTTCCCTTTGCCTCTTTCTTTCGACTTCCTCCTTTGGATTATCATTAAATATAGTTATACGTTCTCTTTCCTCGAATTTTTCCCTCGGTCGTCCATTTGTTTCCTCCAGACACCGGCTCAGTGATGGGCTGACAGACTGAGTCAAGCACTGGTACCTCACCGTTTGGTATCCTTGGAATATAATCAGTGTCAAATAAATGTTTGCCGAATGACTTGCAAGCTCTTTTTATTCTCCTTGATGCCTAGTATGAGATGGTGCGTAGCAAATATTTGGTGGCCTTGTCTTAAATCTCGGTTTGCCTGCAAAAGGATTCACACTTTTTACTAAAACCAACGCCACCAACAAAAAAGCACTCCACGGTTTTAAAAGCTTCAAGCAATTAAATGATTAAGAAAGAACGTTAACTTAATTAAAGAAAATGCTTTGAAGATATAAACTTACTCATCAAATTAAGGATCACTTTGAGATGAGAAAAGCAAAACGCTCTGGCAGGCTTGCATTTTTACATGAAGGACAGATGTAAGGTCGCTCTGCATCCAGTTGTGCCCGTTTTCCAAACTACAGAAAGATATCCTGCCATGTGTTCTAAAAATGTCTGTTATCTGGTGTCAAGCAAGAAAAAGGAAGGGAGGGAAGAACTGTATGTGATTAAAGATTGGGAGACTTTCCAACCCACTTAAAGTAGCCACTCTCTCCAGAAGATAACCTACTTAGCTACAATGAGTGAGAGATAAAAACTTTTTCAACCATTGTATGGCTCTGGTATCTATAAACTGACTGAGTGAAGATCAAATTCCACTGGACCTTTCTCAATAGTGAAGGAGATAATGAGGGTCTTTTAAATGTTTATTTATTTATATTTGAGAGAGAGAGAGAGAGAGAGAGAGCGCGCGCAGGGGAGGGTCAGAGAGAAAGAGAGAGACAGAATTCCAACCAGGCTCCACTCTGACAGGGCAGAGCCCGATACGGTGCTCAAACTCACGAACTGTGAAGTCATGACCTGAGCCAAAATCAAGAGGTTGGACCCTTAAATGACTGAGCCATCCTGGTGCCCCAGGAGATAATGAGTTTTAACCAAACTTAATACTTAATTAAAAGGAACTAAGTATTGAAATGTTAAGAAACATTTCAGGGGCACCTGGGTGGCTCAGTCAGTTAAGTGTCAGACTTCGGCTCAGGTCACGATCCCTCAGTTTGTGGGTACAAGCCCCACGTCGGCTCCATGCTAACAGCTCAGAGCCTGGAGCGTGCTTCAGATTCTGTGTCTTCCTCTCTCTCTGCCCCTCTCCTGCTTGTGCTCTGTCTCTCGCTCAAAAATAAACATTTAAAAAAAATAATGAGGGGCGCCTGGGTGGCTTAGTCACTTGAGCGTCCGACTTTCGCTTGGGTCATGATGTCGCGGTTCGTGGGTTCGAGCCCCGCGTCGGGCTCTGTGCTGACTGCCGACTCAGAGCCTGGAGCCTGTTTCGGAGTCTGTGTCTCCCTCTCCCTCTGACCCTCCCCTGCTCACACTGTCTCTCTCTCTCCCTCTCTCTCTCTCCTAGAAATAAATAAAAAATATTTGAAAAAATAATGAGAAAAAACCACAAAATAAATCCCAGCTCAAAGACCGAAACGTAGAACCACTGAAGTATTAGAAGAAAAATGGGCAGGTGCTTTTATAATCTTGTCATGTAGACCATCGGTCAATTCACTTATTCACTTAGCAAATGCTTGTTCAAATAGTGTCTGTTCTGTGCCAGCCCTGTTTCAGTGGTGGGAATGCACCAGTGAACAAAAAGATAAGAGTGTGTGCCTGCCTGGAGCTAACATTTTACTTACAGGGGGAGCTACGATAAGCAATATAAATAAATAAATTATACGGTACCTTTGAACTTGAAAACTGCTATGCAAGAACTAGAGTACAGAAAGGAGGGAGGGCCCCGAGTATGGAGCTGAAGGGTGCGACGTTGAAAGAGTGGATCAGAACTGGCTCCACTGAGGTAACATTTGAAGCCGAGACAAAGGGGGGAGGGGGGAAGTGGGCCAGAAAAATCAAAGCCTATACCTGCCGTGTTCTAAGAACAG